TTTCAAATTACTTCACCTTTTTTCAAATTAATTAAGCAGTTTATAGAAAATAACTAAGTCGAAAAAATTTTATTGTCTGCGAATTCGTCTCTGTGGCTGCGAATCCATTTAACATTAAAGTTAGATAATCATCTTTTTTATAGGAAATTAAATATGCGGTGATATATTTTGAAGATCAACCAATCAGATTTAAGCCCATTATGTTCATTTAATTACGTACATTTATTTTTGTTATACAAAAGATCTTGCATCGAATGTCGATACAATCACTACTGGGATGAATATCCAAATTGTTTTTATACTCATTGTTGCACTTTGTCAAAGAAAAAAATTACATGTATGTTTTTGTTTTTTATAAATTTGTAGCAAATAAAGACGAACTATAACAATTTCTTGTTCAACTTTCCATTGTTGTTGTTGCTTGAACTATTCACCAACAAGATGACCATCATACAACAAGTGAGCGACAGCAGGGAAAAAATTGTGCCGATAGCAACGGTGCCGCGACTTGCCGGAAAGTTGCCAGTGGTCATGATGAATTGTGAATGAAAATATCGAAAGAATCCGCAAATTAAAAATACTATTCCGAGAATAATAAACATTAATCCTAATGGTTTACCGACCGTTTCATTAGGTGTATGCTGAGTTAAACGAAATAATTGCGTAATGGCTTATAATTACGGTAACGTACAAATATCAATTAATTTTATGATGACATTTAAGTTTGGAGGTAATATAAAAAGAATTTTACTTACCAATGCCAATTCCTATAAATGACAACGAAGTCCGTAACCAGGCTAAAAAAGTTCTTTCGTTTGCTGTGGCGTTACGAAGATTTATTAAGATAATAAATATTGGTGCGAGAACATATATTTAAACTATATATATTTTTTGGTACCCAAATGATCTCTAGCAACACTTGCTCGATTTTCCAAGTAAAGTGTTGGCATATAGCTCTTTACCCACTCTGACCAAGCTTCCTCAGTGTAAGGGTTTGGTGTGGTATTAAGCGAACTCGTAGATGGGAAGGTTTCGTAATTACTGGCATTATTATTAGACATATTTGTCTAAAGAAACGGTTTATTTTTTTAACCAAGAAAATTTATCTAATACATGTACATGTAAAAATTTGAACTATAAAAATGCAGTCAACAGTCAACAAATACATATAGTTCTAACATTTGACAGGCTAGAAATTATAATTTATACGTACAATTTTTAGAGGATGTAAACTATGCATGACGATATATTTGTGTATCTCACGCAAGCAGCAAATTATTTGATTTGTCGGCTTTTAATTCCACAAAGGTCATGTCGAAAGTTTGTATGGTGTACTACTAGTGTACAGAGAAGTGACAAAAAATTAGGACGATCGTTAAAATCTTGATACTTGAGGATAATATGTTCTATAATAGTTAATTTTTTATTAATATAATAACCTTTCATATGATAATTAAACTTATTCACCAAGTCAAAATTT